TTTTTCCACCTGCACTGTAAGAGATGGATCCTTTTTTCTCTTTTTTTTTTATTCTTACACCAGTTATGGCCCAAAAAGCAATGATTTTCAAAGTCTTTACACTTCAATTTTAACCACTAAGACCATTGCAGGACCATCCCTCTCCCCCAGCATTTGGTCAGTTGCCTTAGCAACAGTACATTGACAAATGTCCCTGAAGCTATAAAAGAGGTCAGTTTGAAGTTCCAAGAAAATTTGAGAGGAGTGATGACACATATTAATGAAAATCCAAAACTGAGATTATTGAGACTCAGAGGCAGAAGGAAAAGCACAAAGATGAGACTTAGCAACTAGTCACAAAAGGATTTCTAGATTGTGGCACCGTCTGGGGAGTTAAGGTGGCTCAACACTGTTTCCCGCACTTAAATTTTGATAGGTCACTAGATGCTACAATCATGGCATTAAAAAGCTGCCCAATCATTGGCGAACACGTTATCATTTTTGTGACGCATAGGTTACCATAGCAACAGTATGACCTAAATACACCCTTAATTACAGCTTTAGGGGCTCATAATTCAAAAACGGCACTGTGAAATTTTTTTGTATTATCAACTCTTGATAGGCATGATAAGATGCAACTTTTGGTAAAGATTTAACAAATTCTTTAGGTATGGTTCAGAGCCACCTTAAATTTTCAAAAGATTTCACTATGCCGTTTTTGAATTATGAGCCCCTAAAGCTGTAATTAAGGATGTTTTTAGGAGGTCATACCGTTGCTATGGTAACCTATTGTGTCACGAAAATGATAACAGTGTTCACCAATGATTGGGCAGTTTTTTGATACCATGATTGTAGCATCAAGTGATAAAGAGTGGTTATAACGGCCCATCAAAACCTAAGTGCTGGAAACTGTTTTGAGCCACCTTAATGCAACATTGTAATCCTGTGAACAACAACAACCAGATATTCTAATTGGGGGTGAACACCTAGGCTCGGTTTCAGTTCGGGGGAGGAGTGTGGGCTTGTTTCTAGAACAGGGACTGGAAATGGAGCCTAGTGGACATCCTTCGACTGAAAAAACATTTGACCCGGGGGTCTCGACTTTAAACATTCCCCACCCACACATGACGAAAATAGTTATTACCACCCCACCCCACCCCGCCATCCAAATTCCTTCACCAAAAACATACCTCTTGCATGGAAGAAGCCATTTGGGAATTTTCTTCGAAATCAAAATGAAGCAACTTCGTCCCAAACTCGTAGAAGTAAGGTCCTAGTCGATGAAGATCCACAACACTTGCATCAGCCTTAAATATCTCCCTGTAGCTATCTTTGTAAGCTTTCGGAATGTCCACTGTGACTATCTTTCTTCTTCTGTTGCAGAGCTCTTTTGCCAGCCAAAGAGGCAGTTCGAGTTTTGCGCCAGCTTGCAGATCGTTTCCTTCTGAGCTGGGATCTAAGAAGCCCAGATTGTAAATCTGTGCTTCTAATTTAGAAGGAATTCGTCCTTGTGTAGCTATTATATCGTCGATATCAAAATAATCAAGTTCTGAACTTGGATGTGAACGAAGCGGTGGTCCGGCTGAAGCCATAACTAAGTTCAATGAGCAAAATAACGCTCTTTTAAGGCCACGGATGAACCCTCACAGACTTAACAGTTGCGTCAAATGACAAACAGTGGATTTTAAAAGAATCGAGTAGCAAATTCAGCGTAATTTGTTCACATAGTTTGAATCGTTCGCAAAACTGAATAAAACAGACATTCTTCGGCGCCAAAAATTTGAGAACTAGTGCCAGTCCTAAAAGGTGAAAATTACCCATCATGCCAAGCTGCCTTCTGTTCTTTCTTTGCACACGTTCATTGTGGGGAGAAAGGATTGCTATTTGCTTCACGGGGAAGAAATATGGATACTTTCTCCAACATAAAGAACATCCTGGTGAAATTCTACGATGAATACAACCAGACGACCCCAAAGAAGCTCAAGATCGTGGATGCGTATCTGTTTTACATTATGCTAACAGGGATCATTCAATTCGTCTACTGTTGTCTTGTGGGGACTTTTCCGTTCAATTCCTTCCTGTCTGGTTTCATTTCGTGTGTTGGATCATTTGTTTTAGGAGGTAAGGTGTAGTATAGAGGTTTAATGGTGGTAAGCTTCCCTTGATATCCATGTTCCGAATATCCATGGTACTGGTGTCATCCTGAGCGAGTGACACGTAGTTCGCAAGCTCTCGGGAGACACGTGGTGTTTGCCTACATGATAAATACATGCACTAACAAGCCATAACAGCTACAGAAAGACTTGTAGAACATGTGTAAATGCAAACTGCAAGAACTGACT